AAAAAAATGTTAATGGCAAACAAAACAAAGAGGTGGGAATTTTCTTTCATCAGATCTGTTTAGTTATTTTAAATATATTTATGAATACATATTCGGGGAGAAAGTTGTTGCTTAAGACGAAGCACTAAAATCAGATTTACATTTAATACTCAAAACTTTTTAGCTTACAAATTGACTAATCATTTTTCTCTCCTTTGTCCCAGCACAGCCTCATCTTCAGCTACTGAATGCTACTCCCTGCTGCCAATGAAGAATGAGATGTACAAAATGCTTTATCAAAGAAGCATTTGAAAGTCAGAGTTATGAAAAAAATTTTCAAGAACTTTACTGTCACTACAGTCTCAAATTTTCCATGTGTGTGTGTGCATCTGTAAGGTACCTCCAAAAAAATTGGAATTTTTTTTCAAAGCTATGTATTTAAATTTTTTTTACAAAACAACCTTATCACCTTCAAAGAACTCTCCATTACACTTAATACATTTGACAAACCTGCGAATCCATTCCTGGAAACATTTTTCAAGCTCAGCTGACAGCACCTTCCCTCACTTTTTCCTTCACCTCTTCTACATCATCAAATTGTCCTTTCATGTCCCTCTTCATTCGAGGAAACAAAAAGAAGTCACACAGAGTGAGGTCAGGTGAGTCAGGTGCACGGGGCAAGAGAGGCATCCTGATTTTTTTGTGTGCCAAAAACGGGCACACTGAGATGGCTGCGTAAGCAAATGCATTGTGGTGGCAAAACCAGTCTCCTGTCTGCCACAAATCAGGCCCTTTTTTGTCATTCGCTGTTATGCTATTTTTTTTAGAAGCTCTAAATAGAAAGCTTGATTCAATCTGATCGGGTTTAATGAATTCCAAATGCAGTACTAGTGGACATTTTCATTTTGGGGGAAGTTGATGGACGTCCAGAATAAGGTTTGTCATCAATCGGCATTTCACCTTTTTTGAAACGAGAAAACCACTGTACGCTTGAGTTTTCCCATAGTGCTGTCCCTGTAAGCTGTGTGCAACATCACAACAGCTTCTACAGCATTTTTCCTGAGCAGGAAACAAAATTCCACAGTTGCACACTGTTCTCTTTCATTGGCCATCACAAAAAACGAGGTCGAGCAAAACTGCTCTTCGGTGATGCCACTGGGTGCACTAACTCAGAGCGAGTTGCTTGATGCTCACCTCGCGAGGAAAATGCATACCGTGAAAGCTCCACTCTGCCCAGCGCAATTACTGTGTTTTGGGGGTACCCCCTCATATGTGTGTATGTATATATATATATATCTTTATATATATGTGTGTGTGTGTGTATCCTTCTAGGAGCACACTAATTACAGAAATCAGAAAGACTAGTTTATCATGCTATCCTAACAATGTTAATTATGCATTATGCATGGTTTACCTTAGTAAATGTAGATGAATTTTATTTAAGAAAACACAATACATTTAAATCTAAATGAGCAAGTTAGGAGTTGACTATTCATGCTACCAAACAAGTCTTCAATTTCAAAGGATTCATTGCAGTGTTTCAAAGAACCAAATCCCCCTGTAGTCTAAAAAATCATTTAGAAACTTAATTTACACATAAATTTTCAAGAGCTCATTGGTTGTCTAAAACAACGTGATAACTCTGCTTGTGTAGAGAACTGTGCATGCTGTAGAGAAGGGGATCATAAAACTTTCCCATAAGTTACCTAATTCACAGTGATGGTAAGAATGAACATAAACGTTGGTTATAACACATAGAAAGCTATAGGAAAATTATTCTTGTATCATTTACCTTTATGACTATAATACAAGTGCTTTGCACTGCTTCATTTCCTGCTGAAAAAGAACTCTGATGTGTCCCAAACAACCCTGTGCAAATTACCAGTTTATTAAGTAAACTTTCCCTTATATCGGGTGCAAAAAGAAACTTCTGTTCAACCGCTGGATTATGCCAAATTTGAATCGGCCAAGGGAAATGTGATGACCCAGAGCTACTGCTCACCCTCCTCAGCATCCTGGCATCCGAGCCAGATGCTCAGAAAAGCAGGGCAGCGGACAACCAACCTCTGGGGGAACCGTGGTTTTGGGTGGATGCGATTATCTTGAAAAGGATGACCAAGTTCTCAGAGAAAGACAACTTTGAAGCCCATTTCATTGTCATTAACTCCCTTCCCCAACGTCCAGTTTGATCATTTATTCGCGATGTTTTCTTTCTTTTTTTTCCCCCTACCCTCTTACTTTACCTTAGGCTTGGTAACATGAAGTTCTTTCACCTTTTGAATGTAGTGCTTCTTCCATATGCCCTGCTCGAAGGGGGTGGGGGAGAAACTGATGCACCAGTTAAACCGTAAGCACTTGAGCATCCACAGCTGATCCAGTTCTGTTAAATTCTTCCAATGCCAGCTCACCTGAAAGAAAAAAAGGACGGAAAGAAAAACTCTTTCTGTTTCCATCCAACCATCCCTACATTTTGAGCTGTCATCACGTATCAGAGATTACGTTTTTCTTGTGGTTGTTTTCCTTGAAAGCAGAACTTAAATACGTAGTTCCTGCTCACTGCAGTGCTTCCTACTCAGGCAACACGATCTAGTTTCAATGCTGAGACTTGGGATAAACCAAAACCCAACTCACAGCTATCACGTCAATTCCGACGGAGAAGGACCCTATAGCACAGGGCAGAATTGCCCCTCTGAGTTTCTGAGACTGTAACTCTTTACGGGAATAGAAAGCCTCGTCTTTCTCCTGAGGAGGGACTGGTGATTTTGAACTGCTGACGTTGCAATTAGCAGCCCAACGTTGTAATCACTACGCCACCAGGGCTCCTCATTATCAAAGTCAACTTATATTTGTCAAGCATCTGCTAACTAAGTGTAATTACTACCTTCATTTTGAAAATGAGGACCTGAAGCTCAGATGGAATTTGGAACTTCTTGAAGGTTCCTGAAGATCATAGGAAAGTTATAGAAACTCAATTCTGCACAGTTTATTCTTTTCATAGCATGCTTCCTTTTTCCCTTCGTTTTCATATAAACATGCAAATGGAACATAATTATAATACTGCATGCTATATCATCTTTAACCTTTAGGCTAAACACAGCATAAGATATTAAATGATGTGTCAATTCCACACACCCAACAAATGCTGGAGGCAGCCTGGCCATGTGCAGTAGTGTGGACAATAATTTACCCAAGGATTTGAAAAATTCTTGCCAGAAACTAGGGGCAATGTTGACCCGTGGGGTTCTATGTCTCAGCTCCAAGAGTTACAAAGATGAGATCTCCTCATCTCCATATGCAAATCTATAGAATTTCAGTCTTGGAAAATTATGTTTTTCGTGCCAAAAGGAAAAGGAAAGCAAAACATTGTAGAATGGCCCTTGCTGTGCACACACCCATATATTTATCCCTGCTTCTTCCCTCCTTTCACTGAGCGCCTGCAGTGTGGCACTGCTTTATGTAAAGAAGAAGACGAGGCATCGATGAGGGCATGGGAGCAAAGGGGAAAAAAAGGCGTAGAAGCTAAAGGATGAAAAAGATAGGCAGACGCGGCAGAGTTTTGCAGACAAGGACCGAACCAAAAATCAAAGTCACTGCCAAGTCAGTGCTGATTCATAGCAACCCTATAGGACAGGGCAGAACTGCCCCTGTGATTCTCTGAGACTGTCACTCTTTACAGAAAACGAAGCCCTGTCTTTCTCCCTCGGAGCTGCTGCTGATTTTGACCTTGTGGATCATCACAGGCCAACTCATAAGCACTGCACCAGTATAGAATATTAACATTTCTCTAAAAATTTCAGTTAATCGGATTCAGGAAAAGATTCAGGCACATCATAGTGAGGCTAAACATGCTACGTGTGCAAAAGACTTCTACATATATTTCTGTGAACTTCTTGTACATTTTGGGGCTATATTTTCTGCTGGCTTTTTGCCTTTAAAACAAATACATTTCTAAGATATCTTTTAAAAATCAGGAAATCAGCCCTTGGGTTATAATATATCTTTCCCCTGTTCACTGTTAGAATTTATAGTACTTTTCCATGGGAAAACCTTAACTTTCATTAAATTTTTAAAAATATTACTTTGATTATTCTCATGTATGATATATAAAATAAAGCACGGTTTTTAGTTGTCAAATACATTTCTAAGATATCTTTTAAAAATCAGGAAATCAGCCCTTGGGTTATAATATATCTTTCCCCTGTTCACTGTTAGAATTTATAGTACTCTTTTCCATGGGAAAACCTTAACTTTCATTAAATTTTTAAAAATATTACTTTGATTATTCTCACGTATGATTTATAAAATAAAGCATGGTTTTTAGTTGTATATTGCTTTTTAAGGCTTCTGGGTATTGTAGGTAGGAGCCCTGATGGTGCAGTGGGTTCCAAGCTGGGCTGCTGACCACTGAGTCAGTAGTTCAAAGCCACCAGCCACTCCATAGAAGAAAGATGGGGCTTTCTACTCATGTGAAGAGTTTCAGTCAGACTGAAACTCAGGCAGTTTGACCCTGACCTATAGGAGCACTATGAGTCACAACTGACGCCATAGCAGTGAGTTTGGTTTAGGAATCCTAGAATACAAAGGTCTACTGTCATATGCTTTCTTGGAGTATTTTAATGGTTCCTTTGTTGCATATAAATCTTTCATTCTATTGGATCCCCACCCCCACCCCCGCCAAGATTGCTGATATTTCTTACTGTATTCTTTTTTTTTTCATTTAAAAACTAAAGTTAACATTGCTACATGTTAAGTGAAGGTATAATAGCAGGCGATTTCTGGTTGTACTAGAATAGTCTTACACGATGAAAAAAATCAACAAAATGACTGCCATGCTTACTCCTAAATAAACTAACCTCATTTTAATACACCTGGAATTACTTGTGAGAAGCGAATGATCAGCTTCTTTTCGAAGGCTCCTGGGACCACCCCTGCCCCTCTGATAGTTTTAGTCTCAGTCCTTTTGTTTGTATTATCTCACTGGTATCTTCTGAGCTTTTCTCTACAAGCGAGGAGCCCCGAGGTGCAGTAGTTAAGCGCTTGGCTGCTAAACCAAAGGTTGGCAATGCAAACCCACCGGTGGTGCCAACAGAGGCAACAGTTGGAAACCACCGGCTGTTACTCGGGAGAAGGATAAGGCTCTCAACTCCGGTAAAGTGTCCTGTAGGACTGCTCTGAGTCAGAATTGACTCTATGTCGGTGAGTTTGAGTTAGTGGCTCCATGGAAGAAAGGCCTGGCAATCTTCTTCTTCCATAAGCAAACATGCCTAGGAAAGCCTATAGGGTCGTTCTAATGTGTTCTATAAGACTCGGTGGCAAATAACAACACAATTTACGATATTTTGGTAGCGCTATACTACATAAGAGAAAGCTGTGGCTTGCTACTCCCGTAAAAAGCTGCAGTCTCAGAAACTCACAAGGGGCACTCCTACTCTGTCCTTTAGAATCACTATGAGTCAAAATTGACTCAGAGGCAGTGGGTTGAATTTGGGGTATGCTATACTTATGTATGCCTCCTATGCGTGTGAAAGGTGCACACTGAAAGGAAGATCAAAGAAGAATCGAGGCATGTGAATTTTGATACTGACAAAGAATACTGAAAGCACTCTGGACTGCTGAAAAACCAACCACATTTGTCTTGGAAGCAATAAGACCAGAATGCTCCTTAGAGGCCAGGATGGCGAGACTTCATCTCATGTACTTTGGACATGTTGGGAGGAGAGACCAGTCCCTGGAGAAGGACATCACGCTTGGTAAAGTGGAGAGGAATCGAAAAAGAGGAAGACCCTGGACAAGACAGATGGACAGCATGGCTCCAACAAGGAAATCCAACATAAGAACAGTTGTGAGGATGGTGCAAGCAGGTGGTGTTTCATTCTGTTGTACACAAGGTGGTTATGCGTGAGAACCGACTCGATCCCTAACAACAACAACAACAACAACAACAACATCCTTACACAAGTGGCTGCTAACTGCAAGGTTGTACCTTGAAAGAAAGGCCTCACCATCTAGTTCTCAAAACTCGGCCAATGAAAACCCTATGGGGCACAGTTCTACTTTAACACACGTGGGGCCACAGGAGTTGGAGTCAACTCAAAGGTAAATCTTGTCATTACATTTTCCTACAAATGCCATAGACTGCTTGTTTGCCTTTACCTGTGCACAACGACAAAGGCTCCGGGGGTCCAGGAAAGAAAAGATGTATAAAGACAACACCCTCGGCAGCTTGGTAGTGAAATCCAAGGCCTCTGCTGGAATTTTTTCCTGGAGCTGCCGACAGCAGAACTTCTGCTGGGACAGGGAGCAGCGTTCCAGCAGGCCTGTTAGAATTCTTCTCCTTTGAGCGTCGGTCCATTTGTCAAACTACAAACAAACAAACAAACAAGTTCCAACTTTAGTCTGGTACTGGAAATTCGGTATGAAGAATTGATAGGAAAGCCAAAGTAATGACTTTAGCAATTTATTTCCAGTGAATTCCTTGTATCTCTTTCCCTAACTACTAGATTTATTTTTCTTCCTCACTTACTTTCCCCACATTTGTATCTGAATTCTATGCATCGGGCCTCAGGGCGGATCCTTTGAGGAGCAGAGCAGATCGGTTCCAAACCTCACCTGTGGTCCGAGGAAATGCATCCTTGTAAAATGCAGCATCAGAGGAAGCACCTCCCCAAACTATTGCCTCCCCAATAGTTTCTGTATTAGTTCAACAGTGTTTACGATTCCAGTCCCAGAAACAAATCCTGGCACTCGCTATTTGAGAAAGGGTATAGAATGCAAATATCCCTGACAAAGGGAGTCCATTGAGTTAAATCCTCACTAATACAAAAACGATATATGTTTGGAGAAAAAGGTTGAGAGGGAGAAACAGTGCCAGACAGAGGAGGTACATGCCAAAGTAATGTGGGGTGTACCAAACAGAAGTTTGGGCTGCTTCATGGTTTTCCCCAGAGATTATTCCAAACCAAGCCCAAGAACAGTGAGTGATCAAAGGGTGAGAACTTCAGGACTGGCCCAAACGAAAAGAAAGGCTCTTAAGGGATCGCTTACCAGGTGAATGAGGCACTTCACCAGAAGCCTAAAGGTTTCTTTCATTTGGCAACTCATTGCTCACTCCCCTCAAACCAATTGGGGCTCCTAAGAACCCTGAAGGACAGGGCAGCCCTGCCTCTTTTGGGTTTTAGAGGCTGTTAATCTTGGGGAGCAAAGCCTCATCTTCTGAGGAGTGGCTGCTGGCTATAAACTAGAGAGGTTTCTGCTACTTGTGCTTTATATTTCATGTATAGCTATTTACTACAGTTATCATACAGAAACCAGAATTTTACAATAAGCTTTTCATTGGAATCATAAAATACACTCCCTAAAAAGGCATATAAAGCAAAAAAAAATTGATAAGCCTTCTGACAAGCTAACTTTATTACCATTATAGAAAGCATTTGTCTCATTAGTAGGAATATACACTTTTTCATTAAATCCACTACAGAGCTACTCAATGACCAGAGAGTCTCACTTTGGAAACTATAACGCAAGGGGGGTGGAAATCACTTAAAATGGAGAAAATGAAAGGCAACCTTACAAATATCACAAACATAACCTTTATTCTTATGTGACTGTTGAGGAGACACCTGTCCCAAATCTTCTGGGTGGATGATTAGAAGAATGAGTCAAAAGAGGGAGGAACAGGGCGGTGAGCAGCCAGAGCAGCTGCCCTGTGCTCTGGACGGAAAAGTGAGGTGTGAAGAGAACAGCTTTGGGGCTTTGGCTTGATGGGGAGCTCTGCGATTCTGAGTGAGGGCGTGTCTGTGCAGTTGCCCAGAGTGCGAGGTGGGGAAAGGACGGCCTGGGGGACGAGTGTCGTGTCATGTCGCATTCTGAACAGGCTCCCTGTGACACTTCTTGGAGAGACAAAGGGACGATAGGAATTTATTTTCAAAATTACTCTGGACCGCGAGATGTGACTGTGGAGCCGGATTTACTCTGACAATGTGGGCGGTGGGGGATGAGTCAGAATGGACTGCAATTGCTCTATGTAACTGCACAGCCTACGCTACGTAGGAGGCCAGTAGGATTACAGTTACCAAAAAAAAGTTCGTCATATGATTACCATTGTGATAAATCCAAACAATCCAAAACGAGACCAGCTAGGCGAACTGTAATATGTCGATGTGATACATTACATCATGGATGATGATGAGTTTGGGAGCGAGACAACTGGGAGTCTCTCTCCCCCAATATCCCATTATTTTAAATGACTAAGCCCTAGTTTCACCACTAACAACCTCTTTCAGTCTCACATTCCTCATTTATAAATGAATTATAAAGACATCTACCGTATAGGTTATTGGGTGGATTAAATATGTATAAAATTTCTAGGGAAAAGTACATGACTTACTGTAGACATGGTGGTTACTATGATAAAATGCCACAGTGATGTTAAAAATAATAAGTGTGGGGGCTGACTCAATGTGGAAAGAAGATACAAAAATCAGAGCCAAATACATAAAATCACCACATTTGTACATATAGAATGACAAGCTAAGCTAGCTTATCTACTTTCTGATCTGATGCCTCCCCAAAGATTATCGGCTCAGGTGACAGACTGAGCAATTTAAGAAGACAAAAGAATATTACACTGATAAAGTATTGAAGAACTGCATAAAGGAAAACATTAAAACATTTTCCTCTAGAGATTAAAAAGGGAATTAAATTGGTGTCTCATTTATTTCTGTGATTATAATGGTCAAAAGTAATTTATTAGATAGCTATGATAGGTGCTCTTTCCCTCAAGGGATTTTTCCTTTATAATTGTGTTTACTTAGCCTGACAGAAAACTAATTTTCATTCCTTCAGCTGATACCAATTTAAGATGGGTAGAGGGCTCAGAAGAATGCCTACGAGCAGGGGACAATCCCTTTGTAATTTAGAAGGGATAATGAGTAATCTGAAAAGAAGATAGTCCACGGGAGCATTCCTTACATTGGAATTCAATAATTTCCCACGACTCCTGCACACACCCTCACATTAAAATGTCCACAGCAAGCACGGAATTTAATGCTCCGGTTCTCTTATCCCGACGGAACAGTCCCCCCTATGTCTCCTAGTTTCTGAAGAATGCCTTAATGGCAGCATAAATGTGGAAACCACCTTTTCACGGGATTCTTGCTGCAGTTCCTAGAAGGGAGGACGGCTGCCGGAGCCCTCGCGGTTCACTCTCACAGCACACGGGATGGCACCAAAGGATCACGGGGAGTGGGATGAAGAGGGGGGCTCGTTATTTTTTATTATTAATGTGTTTTAATCTGGCTGAGGTCCTGAGTCCTATTATCAAACATTTATTTCTTGTCTCCACATTCTTGTCTTGACAGTTACCAATCAGTACCCCACTCACCTACTGCCATCAAGCCCCTGCCGACTCATAGCTGCCCAGCAGAGGGTTTCCAAGGTTGTTAAGTCTTTACTGGGACAGGTAGTCTCATCTCTCGCTTGAAGAAGGGCTGATAGGTTTGAACCCCTGAACTTACAGTCCAACACTTACCCAAGGGTGCCACCAGGGTTCCTTTCAAATTCTGTTGGGCCACTCTCCCTAGCAGACTAACTCTATTCCTCAGCGATAATCACTGCTCACATGTTCTGAACATTTACATCGTTAAATGACAGCTTCTGGAGCTATAAAAAAAAATGTAACAGATTTTATTTGGGAGTAAGACAGATTGCTGAAGCAAGGAAGGCTGGCACTCAAGAGGAGATACCAAAAACTTCCCTTTGAGCATGGCAGCAATCTCTTTTTATAGCAGCTGTAAAGACTTAGCTGGATCAAAAGGAACTGGCTTTGGAAAGCCGTCCTTTAAGTAAACCAGGCCTTTTCAAAACAGAGGCAAAAAGGAGATGGAGTCCTGGGCCCTTGTTTATCAAAGGTATAAAGGTTACTGGCTTTACTCTGATTGAAGTCTCAAGAGAATATAGTTTTTGAAAACACCAATTAAGTAAGGTTTATAGGTGGATGCACCTGCAGTAGGTTTATACTGGTCTGATTGACAACATACTCATATATGAGGGGGTTTCAAAAAGTTCATGGACAACTGGAATGAAAAGACAATGGAATTTTTCCATGAACTTTTTGGAATTCCCTTACAGCTATCAATAAGGAAGCATTCAATAAATTAGAACCCACCCACCCCAGGGAAAGGAGCCCTGGTGGTGTAATGGGTTACGCTTTGGGCTGCTAACTACAAAGTCAGCAGTTCGAAACTACTAGCTGCTCCACAGGAAAAAGACGAGGCTTTCCACTCGTGTAAAGAATTACATAGTCTGGGCAACCCACAGGCACAGTGCCACCCTGTCCTACGGGGTTGCTGTGAGTCAGAGTCACCTCGATGGCAGTGAGTTATTTCAGAGAATGCTATCTAGCCATTAAAAAACAAGTCACACATGTAACAAACTCTAGAGCATGCTGTTTTCACACAGGTTTCATGATCGAATGGGCACGAGCTGGTCTACTTACTCAATGTGCTACTGGTAACATCTAGGCTGTTTCCAGTATGAAAATGCTGCAGGTAATATCCGTGCATTTGTGTTTTTCATGACCAATGTGAACATGAGTATTTCTCTAGTACAGATTAATGGAAGGGAGATGACAGTTTCTAGGGAGGGTATGTATGTGCATTTTAATTGAACAGATTCTGTCACGGAATGTTTTTGTTTTGTTTTTTATTTGTTTTACATCCCTTCCAATTGTGTTTAAGAATATCCTCCTATCACCCATCTCTTCCATTTTTACCACACAAAGAATACATGTGTGTCTCACATGGTTTTAATTTGTATTTCTCTGGCATTAACTAACAACACATTTCTTATGCTCATTGGCTATATATATTAGGAGACCTGGTGGAGTGGTGGTTACGTGTTAGGCTGCCATCTTCAGGAATGGCAGTTCAAAACCACCAGCAACCTCCTCAGAGAAAGACTGGCCCTTCTACTCCCATAGACAGCTAAAGTCTTGGCCCCACAGGGGGTCACTATGAGTCAGTATTGATTCAAAGGCAGTGAGGTTTTTATATTTGAAGGGTAAACTTCCATCCTTATATATTAGCCTCTCGGGTGCATAAGCAAATGTGGTGAAGAAAGCTGATGGTGCCTGGATATCAAAAGATATAGCATCTAGGGTCTTAAAGGCTTGAAGGTAAACAAGCAGCCATCTAGCTCAAAAGCAACAAAGCCCACATGGAAGAAGCACACCAGCCTATGTGATCACAAGGTGTCAAAGGGATGAGGTATCAGGCATCAAAGAACAAAAAATCATATCATTGTGAACGAGTGGAAGTGTGGAGTGGGGACCCAAAGCCCATCTCTAGGCAACTGGACATCCCCTTACGGAAATGTCACAGGGAGGAGACAAGCCAGTCAGGGTTCAGTGTGCCAAAGATGAAAAATACACCTTCCTCTAGTTCCTAAATGCTTTCCCCCGCCCCCCACTATCATGATCCCAATTCTACCTTGCAAGTCTGGCTAGACCAGAGGATGTACACTGGTACAGATAGGAACTGGAAACACAGGGAACCCAGGACAGATGATCCCTTCAGGACCAGTGGTGTGAGTGGTGATACTGGGAGGGTAGAGGGAGGTTGGGGTAGAGAGGGGGAACTGATTACAAGGATCTACATGTGACCTCCTCCCTGAGGGATGGACAACAGAAAAGTGGGTGAAGGGAGATGTCGGACAGTGTAAGATATGACAAAATAATAATTTATACAGGGTTCATGAGGGAGGGGGGAGGGGGGAGAGAGGGGGAAAAATGAGGAGTTGATGCCATGGGCTTACGTGGAGAGCAAATGTTTTGAGAATGATGAGGGTAACAAATGTGCTTTATACAATTGATGTATGTATGGATTGTGATAAGAGTTGTATGAGGCCCTAATAAAACAATTTTTTAAAATTAAAAAAAAATTTTAGCCTCTCTTCTATACGGGTATTTATATTTTTGTGATTTGTCGCAACTCCTTCTATTATCCTGGATATTAATCTTTTCTCTATCATTTATTTTGGAACATGCTTTCCCTGCTTCCTTTTGAATTTAACTCTGACCATGGAGGCTTACAGCAAGTTAAAAATGGCGTCATCTACATTACTCAGTTGCTTTAGAGTGATGTTATTTCTGTAACAAAAGACAGCAGAATCTGATAGTTCAAGATGCTTTCTTTTTGTTTTGAAACTAAAGTGCTTTTCCCGCTGGCATTTTCGATTGATTTTGGAGGCATCTGGCCTTCCTACCAGGAATTGCAAGGTAGGGAGAAGTAGAGAGCACATCAACTGTGAGCACGGAACAGTGAAGTAGAAGAGCTATTCTCTACATATTTTATTTGATACTATAAAGAATATCAAGTAGAGCCAAATGCAAGTGTATGAAAAAATGATTTACTATGGCCAAATAGAAAACACTTGTGGATTATCTATTGAAGATGTATCTAGATACTTCTCAACAATAATTATACATCTAATCCTGGATTGAGTTTTAAAACTAATACTTTATCCATACACCCAAAATGCCAGATAATGCTAAACATTTTTTTAAAAGCATGCGACTTTTTTTCTGAAACTTAAAAAAATACTATACTCGCTCTCTTTCGTCTCGGCCGCCGACATGCCCTCCAGACTGAGGAAGACCCAGAAACTTAGGGGCCACGTGAGTCACGGCCGCATCGGGAAGCACCGGAAACACCCGGGAGGCCGGGGAATGCTGGCGGCTTGCATCATCACAGGATCAACTTCGACAATTACCGTCCAGGTGACTTTGGAAAACTCGGTGTGCGACATTACCACTTGAAGAGGAACCAGAACTTCTGCCCAACTGTGGACCTCGATAAATTGTGGACCTTGGTCAGTGAGCAGACCAGGGTAAATGCTGCCAAAAATAAGATTGGAGCTGCACCCATCATTGACGTGGTTCGGTCGGGAAACTACAAAGTTCTGGGAAGGGCAAACTTCCAAAGCAGCCTGTCGTCGTGAAGGCCAAATTCTTCAGCAGAAGAGCTGAGGAGAAGATTAAGGGTGTTGGGGTACTTGTGTCCTGGTGGCTTGTAGCTACGCGGAGGTTTAATTAAAAGTTAAAAATGGAAAAAAAATACGATACTCATATTTCTTTATTCAGAGATAAAATATGAGTATACTCTTTTGAAAGAAATCTATATTTACATTTTAAAATTCCATGACATAGTTTATGTCATAAAATTCAACCTTTTAAAAGTATACAACTTTTAGGGCGTTCACAGAGCTGTCCAAGCTTTGCCACAGTTCCTGTTGCAGTAGCTCTCCGTTCTCGCCCCCACCCTCCAAGGGCCAGCAATTCACTTTTTTCCTCTACAGATTGACCTATTCTTGACATTGCATTGAAACGTACTTGTACAGTATGTGGCCTTTGTATCTGGCTTCTGTCACTTAGGATGATATTTTCAAGGGTCATCACATCAGCGTGTATCACTACATCGTTCCTCCTTATAATTAAGATTCCATTCTAAGGTTATATTCCATTAGTTAGGGGTGTTTGCATTTTTAAATTATTATTACATGTTTTTGCATGAATATGTATTTTCACTGCTCTGGGGAATACAGAATATTCAAAGGGGCTGTAAAGAAAGTTGGTGTATAATTAACAATAATTAACATTGTCCAGAGACAAATAGTTTGTCACCCAGAAATGAGCACATACTATTGGGACTTGTGTCTATTTTTGGCGATGGTGTGAGAAAGTCTTTGTAGGAACGAGAGCTGCACCTTATAAGGTAAACATACAAATTGTTCAAGTTCTGGCGTGGGGGTTACTTAGATTTAGAAGGTGGGTGAGGGTGCTCAATGGCCACAGGTGCTGGCTATCAAGCGACTCTAAACCCAAACGCACCCGTTTTCCACTCTGAGAGCAGAGACGGTTCGGACGAGCAGGTCATATGTTCTTCTCCCTTGACAGCTAAGCCCCTTGTTACATGCTGCCAATATAGAGGGGAGCCCTGAGGAAACCAGGGGGACATCTACTCCTTCCTGTCTGCTTGGTGACCCGGTGAGTGTCACCCCTCCCTAGGGCTTCCTCTGGAGGGTTGCAGTTGTACCTATTTTCTCGTTTCGCTCCTACTTCATTTCCAGAATCCTCAGAGGGATCAGGATCAGCTGGCGGTGTTGCCTCCTACCTTATTTCTCAGAGAGAGGCCCGGTGTCTTCAACTGGGCCAGGTCACAGCTCCAGGAGGGCCTTCCTCCAAGTTCCTGAGGTAACAGTAAGGCTGGCCATAGGGATTTCTTGCAGTTCCGTGTCTGTTAAATCATTATTTCCCTTTCGGTTTTCCCTAGTGGCACTGTGGATTAAGTGTGGGACTGCTAATCCCCAAGGTTGGCAGTTCAAATCCACCAGGCACTCCGCAGGAGAAAGATGAGGCTGGCTGCTTTGGAGAGGGGTCACTATGAGCTGGAATTAGCTCAAAGGAGCATGTGTGGTTTGGCTTAGCCAACCAATTCCTTTCATTAAATTATGTCTAGTAAAACAACTTGTAAGGGTTTCGTTTTCCTGACCAAACCCTGAGACAGACAGAAGGCATCAAGCGTACTGCTCAGGAAATGAACATTAGCTATCTCAGTTCAAGTAGGATTCTGTAGGCTCTCTGATAATGTAATATAGAAATAGGTCTATGATAAATTGTTACCCATTTTCCAAGCAGAGCTCTTCTTTCTTCAAATACCTACAAGGAGTAAAAATGAACATAATGATTTCCATATACGACGGTTCAACATATTCATTACAAGAGAGACATCATGAAAGCATCAAGGAAAAAATATCCAGTGTTGTCACTGTATCATCATAATTCAAAAGGCAGAGTTCATCCCTAAGAAGGCATTTTCTTTTGTTACCCGCATAAGGTTTTTATAAGGGTTTCTTCCCTGCTATCTCCAAAATTCTACACAAGGACCTCTAAGTTTCTCTATATAGAATAATTAATATTAAAGAAAAAGTAACAATTTTTAAGATGAGAAATTTAAAATTGAATAGTAAAGAAATACTATTTTTAGATTTTAAAAGGAGATGAAAAATAAGGGGAGAAATGGAGAGCTCTCTTAATATGCTTCCATATCAACATGGGACCATGCAAATTTTGTGAACTAGCAGTTCTGTTTTCATATCTGAGTGTGTACACACATCAGTACATGTACAGCAGAGGCGTTTCTAGGGTTCGACGTTTACGTAAGCATACCTTCTGAGCCCTGGTGGCACAATGGTTCAAGTGCTAAGTTGCATCCCCAAAGGTCAGTGATTTGAACATACCAGCCACTCGCTAGGAGAAACACGTGGCAGTCAATTCTGTAAAGATTTACATCCTCGGAAACCCTAGGGAGCAGTTCCCCTCTGTCCTTATTGGGTCGCTGTGAGTTAGAATGGACTTGGCTTTTGGTAGATATGCACCTTTGGGCTTACAACTAAGTGTTTCTCTACAGAGGGTCCTTATTCTATACTTCTGAGCCAGACGTCACATCTCATGTGTCAGCAAAACAGAGGAAGGCCTCAAGCAGATGGACTGATGCAAGAGCTGCAACAATGGCATCAAGCAGAGGAACCATGGTGAGGATGGCACAGGACCGGGCAGCTTCATTCTATTGTGCATAGGGTCACTATGGGTTGGAACCAACTCAAAGGTACCTAACAACACCAACAGTCATCTTTTTATCTCCAAGACTGTTCATAGCATGTTACAAGCACTCATGTTTGTTGAGTTGGGTGTGGTTCTGAGAATGAATATGCTTATGGAGGTATCAGTAAAATGTGTCTAGCTATACATTGGCATGTAAGTATTTTTCTGAGCCACAGTGTGTATGCCTCTACGAGTGAGTGGAGATGGGAAGATTAAGGAGCGTGTGCTTGGCAGAGGGAGGGTAACGGAGAAAGGAAGCAAGCGAGCGCAATGAACATATGTGAATGTCTCCCTTGCTCTGTGCACACACACTCTGTCAGTTTTCAAAATCAGAACTGCTGTTTATCCCTTCCTCTTGGTACTACCTAAATTCTCTAGCATTGTAAGAAAGGTCCCACTTGGAGGAGAGGAAGCTCAGGCCTACTTTTTCCTCTTCTGTGGGGGAGGATGGTGGGCTGGTTTTATGCTTCCATTCTTAGATCCCAGACTCTCCTTTCAAAGGACATACAAAATGGAGATGGAAACTACAAAGGAAAACAGAATAAAGCCTACGGAACGCAGAAGATCGAAAAATCTGGGTTACAAAGTTTCCTGAACTCTTTGGCTCTTTCTGGTCAAATCTTATCAATCTGTCCATTGCCAACTCTCTGACGCCTCTGCTTTCCCAACGCCCAGGCGCCTCACTCCTCTAAACTCCTACTTCACTTATAGTCCGTGCTCTGACACATAGCTTTCACAGTGGCTTGCTTCCTTCATAACACTCTCCAGTTGTTTTTTCTTTTTATTGTATCTTGCCCTGTGGATTACAATTGCTTTCTCTTATATGCGCCATAGAACCCGCAAGTACAGTTTCCACGGTCGATCCTCAATAAACATCTGCTGCTGGCACAGAAAGAAGCTTCAGAAGTGATAGAATTTTAGAGAGAGAGAATACTAAAGATCTTTTGGTTCAATCCCCTTCTTCTATAAGAGATAAACAGAAGCTAAAAGAGGAAATATTTATAGACTAAATATATATATTCAACTGGTTCCAGATAATCTGATTAACTCAACTCTACCTTCAGTTCTTCACTATAACCTTCCCCATGCTGACCTGCCTCCACCGGGTCCAAGCCCAACTTATTAATGGACTGCTTGCCCAACTTTGGCCTGACAGGGGAAAGAAGGAAAGGTTAGGTTTCAAGCCCATAGTACAGCTTTCAAAAGGGGTTGGGAAACACCATCATAGTGTCCAATGAGAGTGTGGAACACTGGAAGCAAAGGGGCACTGTCTGAAATGGGAGAGGATGGCTAGTAATAAGTAGTAAGAAAGGAGTAAGAAGGATGGGGAATGCCATTTAGGCTAAAACGTATATGAACTTGAGAGAGCCAA